TTACCTTTTGGCAGAAAAGGTAATAAGAAGTCGTGCTCACTAGCCCTCCATCAGATTCTTGCTGAAGAATCAGGTTCTTGTTGAAGAGCCATTCTGTTGATTCTGCTTCATCCTGCGCCGTGTCATATTCGATGGAAGCAGTCTTTGAATCTTTCCCTGGGCGTGAACACCTTCATTGGAGGTTATTGTTACTTCGTATCAGGTATAACCCTCCACTCTCTTTTGGTTTCAGATCTGGTCTGGTTTAGGTTCAAGATTGATCTTTGAAAATACAGTTTTCTAAAATAGGGAATGTGATTCCCACGTGGGAGAGAGAGAAATTTTTGAAATTTTGCCCAACCTTCCTGCAGGGTTCGGCCATCCATACGATGGATCTCTCATCCCTTCAATTGGTGCATAGGTGTCAAAGTAATCAATCCCTTCCTTTTGACTAATTCCTTTGGCTACCAATCTAGCCTTAAAAGTTTGTACAGTTCCATCAGTGTTGTATTTTCTTCTAAACACCCATTTACATTTTATTGGTTTTGATCCTGGAGGCAAGTCTACTAGTACTCATGTGTTATTTGACATTATTGAATCCATTTCATCATTTATAGCTTCCTNTTATTTGACATTATTGAATCCATTTCATCATTTATAGCTTCCTTCCAAAAGGTAGCATCTCTAGAGGTCATGGCCTCACTATAGGTTTTTGGATCATTTTCAATGTTYAGGACAATGGGTATCTTATTTAAAATCTTCTCTCTATCAGCCTCAACCAAAAATACAATTGACTGAGTAGAGATAAAATCTGAAACCTAAGTGTTTATATGTTCTTTGTCTTTGACTTCTTCTAGGTCATATTGTAGGTGTTACAGTTGTGCCATTTCTTCTTTCAGTTTCATTATTATCAACAGGTATTGAGATCTAAGTTTCTCTTTCAGGTTTTCTGTCATTTTCTGTGGATTCATTTTCTGTAGATTCATAACATAATTTATTTTCAAAGAATTCAACATCTCTAGTTTCAATTATTATGTTGGACTCTAAGTTTAGAAGCCTATAGGCCTTGCTATGTTTTGCATATCCAACAAACATACTTCTCTTAGCTTTGAGTCCTAACTTGGTTCTTTTAGGATCTGAAACTCTATAATATGCTAAGCACCCACACACTTTTAGATATGATAAATTAGGCTTTCTACTTGTCCATAATTCATATGTGCATTTGTTATTAATTCTAGAAACAATTCTGTTATGTAAATGATAGGCTGTTAGGAGTGCTTCCCCCACAGGTTTAAGGGTGCATTAGCTTTTAACAACATGTAGTTTATCATTTCTTTAAGTGTTCTATTGTTCCTTTCGGTCAGGCCATTCTGTTGAGGGGTATAGGGAGCAGAACACTGATGTATTATTCCAAATTCTTCATAGAAAGAATTAAACTCATTTTTAAAGTATTCAGCACCCCTATCACTTCTAAGTATTTTAATTTTCTTTTCTAGTTGATTTTCAACTTCAGTATTGTACAATTTAAACATGTCAAAGGCTTCATCCTTAGTTCTCATAAGGTAGACATAGGTGTACCTACAAAAGTCATCTATAAATATTATGAAGTATCTCTTACCTCCTCTAGTTAATACACTATTGAGTTCATAGATGTCAGAATGAATTAGTTCTAGAAGTTGAGAATTTCTCTTAACAAGGTTTCTTAGCCATTTTAGATTTTACACACATCTCACATTTTTCAGTTGATTCATTACTGTAAGCAATTATACCAAGTTTGCTCATGTTCTTTATGGATTTAAAATTCAAGTGTATAGAAAGTGTGCCTCTAAAGTGCCTCATTGCGCCGCACACACGTGCACACACTTGTGTACGCGCTTTGCGCGGTATCAAACCCCCATACTCTCCTCTACTATTTCTAAAGAGTGTAAATCAGCTCCTATTAAACCTATTGGATTTAATCTCTTATGATATTAAAATCCAATACTAACAATCCCCTAAAAAGGTGTAACCGTTGTAGGTATCACAGAGATCCTCTACTAAGGTTGCCATGTGTCCATCCTTTGTAACGAACCGTAGTAGATTCACTGATTGACAATTTCGTGGATGGTTTGTTCTATGAAACCGAGCTCAATGACTGGTCCAGTGACATCTAAACCAAGTACGTATCACCCATTTCTCCTCTAGGAAATTAAAGTGTTCCAAGAATTTGATGGTATATATATATATATATAAATATATAATCAAGAAAGTGTTCCAATCAGTAGATGGTACTAAGAGGCTAGTTATTGGATCTGGTTGAATTTCTTGGGAATGGCAGTCACCTGGTTAAACATAAATTCTGAAAGTGAATGGTTGTAGCTTCTCATCCCAAATCAATTGAACATAAAAGCTGAGCCTTCGTCTCTGGTACTATATACTTTGTTCAATAACAATAAGCAAGGTTTTTGTGATCTCAATTCCTGTGTATTGTTTGTTCTTGATTGAAGATTAAAATCATGACTTGTATAACTCACATACTAGACAATCCAACAAGGTATTAAAATCCTCTAGTTCATACTTATTTCTTCTTATTCATTGTGATTTTTTTATCATATTATTTTTTTATTATTGATGCAGAGATATTACTTCTTAGAGCTTGAACTATATGATTGAAGGAAGATTCTTTCACCCAGAAACTATTTGAGCAGATGCTTTCTTCATGCTTTGCCTAATCTGAAATTAAGGTTTTAGATTTTCAAAATAAGTCTCATCTATTAACGAGTATAAGAGGATAAAATAGGGTTTTATTTTATTTTTTTTATGACAGAGAGTGAGTTTTGAGTCCAGTTGAATCAGCCCAAAAGATATATTTAAGTCTATTTTAAAACCTTGGGTATCTTTAAGTCAATTTCTAAAACTCAAGGTATATTTAAGTCTTTTATCTTTTTTTTGTTAGACTCTTAATTAATCCCCACTTCCCAACTTCTAAGACACATTATATATGGCCGACCTGCTTTTGCCACCGGATCATGGGTCAGACTATTCTATGTCAACACTCTATATATTTAAATAAATATATATTTATACATATATAAATGTTTATATATGTATATATATGTGTGCAAATACATATTTATCAATAAATAATGTATATTTATGTTTTACATATAATATGTGTATTATTTTATTTTTAATTTATGTTTTTAATTTAGTTTTTAATTTTCTATTTATAAAAATATTAGAAATTACAAATTGAGACCAATAAAGGTTTTTTTTTTTTGCAAAAATAGCGAGGCAAGGCACCGATAACACCTTGGGATGCATAGATCTTAAAAGGTTACTCGAAATAAAAAAAGATCACCTCAATTGGACATTGGAGTGCAAAGTTATGGCCTCTGAAAGTTTGCACATACATTAAGTGTGCAACCCATGACGTGATGACTAGATTGTCCAGGTCAACAATTGAACTATCTGGGTTAGACAGTTTTCGACCCAAGGGCAGGTTTTAATAGAACCAAACCCGAAATCAAGGTCTGGTGACAATTCGAATAATTCAACCTATTGAGTTAACAATGGGTTAAAAACACTAGTATCAGTTTGGGTCGATTGGTTCGATTTTGGTCAGTTTACACATGGCCAAACCAAAACTAACTCGACTTGGTTGGGTTGAAAAATTGTTGAACCAAAGCCAATCGAAAATATTAGAAAATCGACCAACTTAGGTCAAGTTGGGTCTATTCAGTTGATTTGGTCGATTTGATGAACAACCCTAGTTGACATTAATTATTGAAAAAATATTAAAAATACTATATAAAATATAAATAATTATTAATTATTTAAAAAGTTAAAATATAAAACAGTTTTCTACTCTTATGTGTATCTATTGTTTTAGATTTTCTTAACAAAATCCCTGCACCGCACAGGTCCCCGTTAATTAAATATATACTACATGGTTTCCAAAATTAGACCGGATCAGATGGTTATACCGAAAAAACCGAGAAACGATCACCTGACTGGTTTTGTTTTATCCTAGAATTGTCTTCTTGGACAAAAACCATTGATTTGGTCAACAAACCGTTAACCTGAGCGGTCAAACCATTCAAACTGTCCAACAATTTTTTATCGTTTTTTACTTTTTTTATTTTTTTATTTCTTTTGTCAAAATGGACCATCTGTTTGGTTCGAACGATCAGACCATTCAACCTAAGAACCGGAACCTTGAACGGTTCATTGTCCGGTTTGGTTTTAAAAATCTTGATACACCATATACCTATTACCTATTTTTTTCAACTCTACTACAACTTGTGATGCCCTTTTTTCTCAAGGAGTGATTCTTATGCAATGTTTTAAAAGCACAAGGCATAGGGGTCAATTTGTGCCTAGGACGCAAGGCAAGGTAGGTGCCTTTTTGAAGTAAGGTGCAAAATAAAAAAAATGCTAAAAAAATTAAAAAATTAAAAAAATGTCAAAAAAATCCAAAAAATTCAAAAAAATACAAAAAAAAACATAATATAAATAAAAAACTATAAACTTTAAATTTTAAAATAAATGTTTTAAAAACCTATTATCTAAAACTAAAATACATAAACATGTAAAGAATATTCAAATGTGAATTTAAAAAATATCAAACATATAAAACATTTTCAAGCATGTAAAACCCACAATCTCTTTTTTTTTCTTAATTGAACTACTTAAAGTGGCTAATGTGATGTAAAACATATTACATTCCTGATTCTACGAGCCATCTGATGCGCCTTTTGAAAGGGCTGCACCTAGGACCTAGAGGAAGCACCTACCCTAAAATGCGCCTCGCATGTGCTCCGTTTAAATCACTGTTCCTACACACCCTATTTATGAAGCCAGGTTGCTTCTTCTGGACTGATTACTCCCAAAACAACAAACCTCATATCCTTAAGTTCTGGGACATTCTAAAATTGCGCTCCTTTGGGTATTATCATGGGTGTTTCTATAGAATCGCTTTTGCTAAAGGTGTTATCCAATTAAACTATCACGCAAAATGGGAACTAGAGGAAGGAGAGTAATTGTCGACAACAAAATTGTAAATTTATAAACCACGTCGGAGTTCAACTGAACAACTTGGTTCGTTAATTTCAGTGATAATTCTGTTGTTCCTGTTATCGAATCATAATGAATCTAGGGAATGAAACTAATCACATATAGAACAGGACATTTACATTTGACTGAAGTACCAAACCCTCACATTTACAAATGCTTTTTACAATTTAATCAGGTATTCAAATTTCAATGGCTTGATGTACACCATCTTTGAAGGGGCCAGAATCATGTAATAGTTTCATAACAAGCTTAACCTGCAGTAGAGGAAAGAAATAATAAATAGATGAATATAGGAAGGCATAAGCAGAAATATCTATCACTACTTAGCTCAACAAGAGATATGTGCTAAAATTTGAATTAGAACTGATCTCGTGTATTTAGTTTCCATTTACAAACTGAGAATGTCCTTGTCCTTCAGTTTCATAAGTTGACATCAAGATATCACAGGAAACTATGTCACTATGTCAGATGGTTCCTACTGCAAGAGTTGAGGCATTTTTAAAGGAGTTGGGGAAGCTAAACATAAGGAATTTGTTGAAGTTGAAGTAAGGTGAGATTTATTAATGCTGATTTCTGGTTGAATTATCTATCAGCTATGAGATGCCTGTTTCCTATGGAGTAGCATATCGTCCTTTTTTGACTTCAGTTCTTTTATCATATGCATAGAGAGGCTGACAGTGTGCTTGACTACAAAATATTATCCTCAATATTGAGGAGTGTTTCTTTTCATATGATATGATGCCTATTGGTTTCCTGTTCTATCCCCAAGATGCTAGAAATCTAGAATACAAAATTATAGATTCAGCTTACTCCAACCAATGCTTTAGAAGAAAAACAGTCCCAAAAGAATGAGATGACTGATTAAAGAATTGTGAAATAAAAAAGAGAAAACAGCAAGAAGAAGTCGGCTGTGAGAAGGATTTAGAAAGATGAGTTGTTTGTACAGCTCTCTCCTTTCCCTAATCTATTTCATTAACTTAATCACCAACTTTTAGTAATTTACAGGTTAGCCATTAGTTGGGCGGCAGCTAATTACATAAACATAAACTAAACGGGCCCATAAAGAGAAGACCCATTAACAGAATAAGATATAAACATAAAAAACTAAACATAACAGAAAACATAAACATAAGCTGTGGGTTATGGGCCATTCGGCCCATCTTCTCTACACTCCCCCTCAAGCTGAGCATAGATGTCAATCATGCCCAGCTTGCCCGTGTCATGTTGAAGCTTGGCCTTGGAAATTCCTTTGGTAAGAATGCTAACTAGCTGTTCTTCAGAAGTAATGAATGGTAGACGAACTTCTCTAGAAGTCACTCTTTCTCTGATGAAGTGCTTGTCAACTTCAATGTGTTTAGTTCTATCATGTTGCACCGAATTAGTGGTTTATCATACTCAACACCTAGTTCCTCCATCAAAGATTGAAGCCAAAGTAACTTAGAAACTCCATGGGCCATAGCCCTGTATTCTGCCTTAGCTGAAGATCTAGCAACCATAAATTGTTTCTTGTTTCTCCAAGAAACAATATTACCTGCCATACTACAGTATCCCAAAGTTGACCTCCTATCATCAATGTTACCTGCCTAGTTAGCATCTGTATAGGCTTCTAGCTTTAGATGACCATATTTGGCAAAAGGAATGCCTTTCCCCGGAGTACTCTTCCAGTAATAGAATCCTCTCTGCTACTGCCATATGTGAATCTCTGGGAGCATGCATGAGCTGGCTAATGCAGCTAACAACATATGCAATGTCAGGGCGAGTCATACACAGAAATAGCAGTTTCCCTAGTAACCTTTGGAACACTCCCTTATCCTTCGACAGTTCTCCATCAGAGGCAGAAAATTTGTGACTCATATCAATAGGAGTAGCCACTAGTCTTGCACCCAATTTGCCTGTTTCAGTGAGCAAGTCTAGCACATACTTGTGTTGAGAAATAAAGATCCCATCCTTAGATCAAGCCACTTCAATACCTAGGAAGTACCTCAACTCTCCCAAGTCTTTGATCTCAAACTCTGTATGAAGGAAGGATTTAAGTTTATCAATCCCTGTCACATTAGTGCCAGTCACTACAATATCATCCACATAGACTATAAGGTATACTACCAGTGAACCTCTCCTCTTCACAAAGAGGGTATGGTCAGATTGAGTCTGTGTGTAACCAAAGTGAACAAGAGCAGCCCTAAACCTCTCAGACCAGGTTCTAGGTGATTGTTTGAGCCCATAAAGAGACATCTTCAGCTTGCACACTTTTCCCTTCATATTTGTACCATACGTCCCTGGTGGGAGGGACATATAAACTTCCTCATGTAATTATTCAAGAATACATTTTTCACAAGACCGAATCAGCTCGCCACAACATCCCATGGCATATCCCCGTCGTGTATTGGGAACATCTCCCGATGATAATATCCAGAATGATGATGTCATCATCGAAGATGTTCCCAATACACGGTGGGGTGTTGTGGGACATTGTGGGGGTCAGTTTTGTGGGAGGCTGATTTGAACTCATTTTTCACATCCTGTTGATAAAGAGGCCAGTCTGAATGAACTGCCAAGGATAACAAAACCTATACAAATGTCATCTTTACAATAGGAGCAAAAGTTTCCAGATAGTCAATCCCATAAGTTTGTGTATAGCCTTTTGCAACCAATCTAGCTTTGTACCTCTCAATAGATCCATTAGCATGATATTTGATGGTATACACCCACTTACAGCCTACTGGCTCCTTCCCTTCAGACAAATCAATCACTTCCTATGTGTCATTCTTGTGCAGAGCCTCTACCTTAGTTCTCATAGCATCCCTCCATTTTGGTGTAGTAAGAGCTTCTGATACAGACCTAGGTATAGGGTTAGAAGCAACAGAAGAAAGGAAGACATAATATGAAGGAGAAAGAAGGCCATAGAAAAGATGTTTGGAAATGCAATGTGTAGTACACTTCCGTTTACCTTTTCTAATAACAATAGGGACATCATGATCTGGGAAGGGAGGCTGCGATGTGGTGGTATCAGTACTTGTTGTCTCTTCAGCAACTGGAAGTGTAGGAGGCTCATGTGATGTAGAGGAAACAATCTACTCACTCTTGGTCCTTTGTCGCTAGTACAACCTGGGATTAAAAAGAGGACAAGGAGGTAATGGAGGAGGATCAGGATATTGGAACTTGACTCATTAGGAACAGAAGGAGACTTAACAGGAACAAGGGGAAGTGCAAACAACTGAGACAAATACTCCCCCTAGGAACGATGCTCCTCCTGAGATGAACCATAGAAAGGAGTGGACTCAGCAAAGGTAACTCATTGAGACATAATGAGTGCCAGTACTAGGATCAAAGCAGCAATAACCCTTCTGTGTGGAGGCATAACCAAGGAAGATGCACTATGGGCCTTGGATTCAAATTTGTGTCTCTGGGTGTTAGAAATGTGTACATAAAAAGTGCAGCCAAAGACACAAAGAGGAAGAGAAAAAAGGTCTTTATCTAGGTAAAGAAGGTTAAAAGGAGACTTAAAGCCCAAAACTATGGATGGCATACGATTGATTAGGTAGGTTGCAGTGAAAACAACATCCCCCCAAAACTTTGTAGGAACATGTGAGGCAAACAAGATGCTTCTTGCAACTTCATCTATATGACGGTTCTTTCTCTCGACTACTCCATTTTGTTCTGGAGTACGAAAACAAGAACACTGGTGGATGACCCCAAAGTTAGTGAGATAAGAGGTTTGGTTCTTTTCAAAGTATTATTTTGCATTTTCGAATCTGAATATTTTGATCCTTGCATCAAACTGGGTAAGAACAAATTCATGAAAATGTCTTACAAGCTTGGGAACTTCATCACAAGATCTCATAAAAAATGACCAAGTACACCGGGAGAAATCATCAATGAACAAAATAAAGTATTGATAACCACCCATAGAAGGTAAGTGGTATGGCCCCCACACATCAGAGTGCACAATATAAAAAGGAAAGGTGGATCTTTTATTACTCAAAGGATAACTGCTTCTACAATGTTTTGATAATTCACAAGATTCACAATGAAGACTAGACAAGTTAATCCCCTTAAACAATTCCGGGAATAAATGACTCAAAGCAGAAAAAGACAAATGACCCAAACGAAAATGACATAACATGACACGACTAAAAGACTCTGAAGAAGTAGACCCGAAAGCAACTCTCTCAGGCTGTCCTTAGCTTTGTCTAGGAGTATTCAACAGATATATTTCATTCGCCTTATGGCCACTTCCAATCACTTTCTGAGACTTCAGGTCCTGGAAAACACAATAAGAAGGGAAGAAGGTTACATTGCAATTTAAGGATTTCGTTAGGCTACTACAGACATCAAATTAGTATGCAGTCTAGGGACATGAACGACAGAAGAAAGAGAGAGGGAATTTGTAGCCTTGATGACTCCCTTGCCAGAGATAGGAGCAAGAGAGCCATTGTCTAGGGTAATCTTATCACGGCCAGAAAGCAAATCATAAGAGCTAAATAGAGTGGAAATGTTGGTCATATGATTAGAAGCACTAGAGTTAATAATCCAAGGGATCCTATGATTACCTGAGATGGTTGCATGATTGGCGGTAGCACGTATACCTGAATGAGAAAATGCAAATGTAGTTGGATTGGCTGAAGAGTTGGAGGAAGTGGCTACTCATTGTCAACCTGAGATGGTTTCTCATATTCTACCTTCATCACAGTTAACTTCTCATCTGTAGAACACCTATCATTGTCTAAAACTGTGGCTGTATTGGCACTTCCGGTCTTCCCATTATAATCCTTCTTTTGAAAACGGGGTGGAATAAGATCTGGATGCAACTTCCAACATTTATCTTTTGTGTGTCTAGGTTTCTTACAGTACTCACATATAACCTCCTTCTGTGTACCATCTGTAATCACCTTAAGTTTCAGCCCCATATTAGCAAAGTGGTCACCCGTAATAGCCCCTTGAACCTGGACCAGCCTCCTACTCTCTTCACTGCTCACCATAGCATAAGCCTGAGACAAGGATACATTATCCTTAGCTAGGATATTCTGTCTAGTAATATCGAACTCTAGATTCAACCCCGTCAGGAATTCAAAAACCCTATTCCTCTCAACTAATTTTCTATGTCTCAACATCATTTGTACTTTCCCAGACAATTGTTTCTAAGAGATCTATCTCTTGCCACAAGGATTTCAGCATTGAGAAGTATACTGCTAAAGGTCTCTCCCCCTGCCTTAGATTATTCACATCACTTCTTAGCTTATATGCCCTGACCACA